ATAATTATATATATATATATATATATATATATATATATATATATAGAACTGGAGGTCGCTGGAACAGAATATATAAATATATATATATATATATAGTGTGTAGTTATATATTATTCTAGTGTGTTCTGACAGAATATATTTCAAAAATGAAACAACTTCAATAATAGACTTTAGGAACACTATTTTATTTGTATAATTCTGCCACTACTGTGGCCTTCATCATTATAATATACACATCAAAGTGAGACAATTCAGAATTGTAATGAAATCGTTATAAAATTGTAACCGTAAAGGCAAACTCAGACAGCGTTTCATGACGCAGCCCGACGCGATCCATATTCAGGGACAGTCTGAAACCATCGTTTCAATATTCTACAAGACGGTCTCCAATGCAAACCATCACGTTTGCGTTTAACTCACACAGACCCGACGCGACAACAAATCGTGTCGGCCTGCATCGTACAACACAGTCTGAGTTGGATTACCAATGTGTAGTAAACAATTCCATACCTATAAATGGTACCAACTAACTATATGAAATACAAAGTTGTATATTGTACACATAGTAGGGAGTCACAAAGTATTTAAATTTGTATTTGATGTACTGTAGCTTGATTTAACGTCAAAATTGTTTGGCCTTAAACAACTGCTACATACGTTATTACGGTATCATTCTTTTGTAGTTTTTAAATGTCCGAATCCTCACTGCAGAACAACGCATGACACAGACTACAAATACTGTCCAGATTGTGGTACTCAAAGAAAAGGTGAGGAATGAATAAATATAAAATGTGAGTATACCACAATAAGTTATACTTATTGATTTTTTGCAAAAAGAAAACCACACCAAAAGAAAACACTCACAAAGTATGACTCTAATAACAAGGAAAGTAGTTTTCTTTTGAAGTGATTAGCATTGATATATTTAGAAAATTGTGGTCTTTTTTTTTTACAAGAATTTTTACTGGCCTATATCTAATGTATTCACGTTTTTATATGAACTAAAAGTGATTAAAAAATAACCCTTACATGTTCTGTATTTCTGATTTAATTTTTGTAAAAAACTATGGGTTTTTGTTTTATGTATTAGACATATGCTACATATAAAGATTAAATATTCAAAGTTTGGATCATAGAGAAAGTATTATTATTATCATTATTATTATTATTGTTATTATTATTATTATTATTATTATTGCATATCTCTTCCACTGTTTCCTGCCTTCTACAGTTCTCATCAGGAAACAAGGCTTAAATGTCTACAATTCTGTATTCATTGATTTTTTCATTATTTAGATCTTAAAAGTGCAACTTTCTCATTGTTTTTTGTCATTAGACCATTATTTTAGTATTTTTATTTGCAAATTCTTAATTGAAACTATAAGAAAATTTGATAGCAAAAATAGTAATCACTCAATCATATTAATCATTCATAATAACCTTCTTTTTTACTTTTGCAGACAACAACCCAGACTTAGCCAAAGTGCCTCCTGGACCGCCTCTAAACATAGTTGTAATTGGAAAGACAGGACAAGGGAAGAGTTCAACTGGAAACTCAATCCTATTCCAGGATGCTTTCAATGATTCGTGTTCATCATCATCTGTTACAAAAGCTTGTGAATGGAAAACTGTAACCATTGATAACCGTGAGTTGTTGGTAGTGGATACACCTGGATATTTAGACACCAGTTTTGAAAATCCACTGAATGTACAAGAGAGTTTGAAATTCACCAGTGACGAAGTAGCACGTGGGTTGACTGTATTAAATGATAGCATCCATGCAGTTCTACTGGTGATGAAGTTTGGCGAGCGATGCATTGCATACGACAGAGCTGTCATACTTGCGGCGGAAGAACTTTTTGGAGGAGCTCTAATGGATTATGGAATTATTTGCTTTTCACATAAAGATGAAATGGAAAGACAAGAAAAGAGAAACAAGACAAATAAAGAAGAACATTTGAAACAACTGAGGTCACAGAGTATTTTTCGAGACATATTGGACAAGTGTGGAAACAGAGTGGTATACTTTAATAACCTAGCAGCAAGTGAGGTGGAACAAAAAGCTCAATTAGTTACATTAATTAAATTAATTGATATAACACTGACCAAGAAAAACTTTGTTCCCTTTACTACAGGAAAGCTTGAAGAAGCCAGGGAAATAGTAAGGCAAAAAAGAGAGAAGGAAATGGCAGAAGCTGAAGAAAGGAAGTTGAAAGTTGAAGAGAAAAGAAAGGAAGTTGATGAAATAATGGAAAAACAAAAAATATTTGATGAGGAAAAGACAACTGAGGCCAAGACAAAACGGAAGATGAGTTTGATGAGAGCTGTGAAAGAAAGAAATGAGAGAATAAAAGAGGAAGGAAAAACAAGAAAATTCACGCTCAGACGAAAAAAGTCCAGCAAAGCTCCAAAGTTAAATGAGCTCCCCGAAGATGATAAACAGTTAGCCGAAGATAATAAGACAGATACAGTGGAAAATGGTACCACAGACATAGTAGAGAATGGTAGAACAGACAATGTGGAGAATGGCGAGACCAATGAGGAATATGGTGAAGAAGCATCAGAAAGTAAATTAAGAGAAGAAAATCAAAATACATCTGAGAAGGAAAATGCTGTATTAGTGGAGATGTCTAATCTGATTCAAGAAAGAATGATTAGTGTAGAGGAAAAGTTTACTCAGTGGTCTGAGAATGAACAGGAGAAAAAACAACCGAATGTTAAAGAAAATTCCAAAGACGAACAAATGTTTAAGTTAGATGGAGAATTAGAGGATATGGGATGTTTTTCATGCGACAGCAAAGTCATCTTAAAAAATTGGAATTTTATTCCAGTGAAAGATCTGCAGGTTGGCGATACAGTTCTCTCTGTTAAATCCGATGGTAAGCTAATATTTGACGAAGTATTCATTATTACCCACATGGTCAGCAGGAAAATTGAAGCTTTAAAGATCAGTACCGATAGAGGGCGATCTATTACTTTGACAGCCAATCACATGATGCTCATAAATGGAGGTTTGGGATTTGATTCGATGCTTCCTGCCAGAAACATCCAATCTGGTCATTTCATAATGGTTCTAAACTCAAATCAAGAACTACAAATTGAGATGGTGACTGCTGTAGAGTTGGTTATGGTTGATGGATGTGTTTGTCCAACTACAGCAAGCGGCAGAATTATTGTAGATTCAGTAGTAGTTTCTTGTTATCCTGATGATTTCCCGCCATTTCTTCAGCATTATACTCTGTACGCGCCTATGAAGGTGTTACATTGGATATTACCGAATGTTTTCAAGACGGGAAAACAGAAACATGGAATGCCAAAGTGGATCTGGTGGTTAAAAAAATGTGTTCATCCAACATGGAACCGAATCAAATCTTTCTACTGATATTCACCAACTATATTGAACTCATTTGTTTTTGATGTCAAAATCTGAAATATGATAATCATCACCTTTAAAAATGCCTCTTGTCTTGTGACAAGGTATTTTACCCTATTTTATGCCAAGATTGTCTGTCCTGGGCAGGAAAGTTTTGTGTTTCAATAATACTGTATTGATAATACCATCTTCAATACAACTTTTATAATTAAGCAGGTGATTGATATAATGAGATAATTGTAAGACCTCTCTTAAAATTTGACCATTTACCCGCCCATTGTATACAGAATTTAAATTCAATAATTGATATGGCAAATTTTACTTTTGATATTAAATAGTACATATTTAGCATTCATATGGTTGTTAAGGTTTATAAATATCCAGGGGTCAGATATATCTTCAGATAGTTGAATATTAATAATTATACATATACTGACTTTTATTAATGCAAATGCATTTCAGGGTAAAACCATGTTTATTTTAAACCGGGAATTGTATACTGAATGAATGCTGCACGATGTGAAAGATTCTTAGTGCACTAAGAAATTAAAGTCGCGTCGGCCATGTGAATTCAGCACAGGCCGATTTAATTCAAGATTTTACCTTCTGCGAACATGCTATGAAGGGTCCACTAGTGTTCATGGATGAAGAGACAAACGTAATCAAATGCCTTGCTCTAGGATATAAGAAATATGACTGGAATAACAGATATTTGATTAAATATGCAATTGATTGGTTTTACAATGCATTTACTGGGGTATAATCAGTCATTAAATTGATAAGACTACACTTTGAAGTTATCAGTTTTAAGAGAACATCCTTTGCATATTTAACATTACATTGCATGCTATTAGTGTACAGATAATTTTTTTACTATAAATTTTAACAAACAGTTTAAGGTTTCATTGCAGGCATTCAAATTGAATTGAGTGTTATTTCAATTAATTTCTTGAAGACAACTAAAATAAAAGGCAATACTTTCCAACATGCGTACAATTTTTATGTACTTATGAGTTGTATATGTATTTAAAATAAACTCTCTTAAAAATATGTTAGTGTGAGTCATAAAAGCTTACATACTCAATATTTTCATGTATGAATATTTTATGACTATTTTAGTATTGAAATTGACAATTCTTGGTAGCCAAAAGTGAGAAAGGGGAAATAAACCCGCTGCAAGTAAAAAAAAAAAGAAGCAACAAATTCACATTGTAACAGTAAATTAAAATTGCACTAAAGTTAACATCATTAGTCTTAAATATATTTTTTTTAAATCACCACACAAATGCCTTGGTAAAAGAAAATTGGTAAATAGTTATTATGCTTTAGTGTCAATGTGACAAATGGTGCCAGGAATGTGAGATATAGTATTTAATTTGGATTTGGATTTTAGATTCACCAAACATTCTTTTCACTGCTACTACTGTTCTAGTGACTATAATCTAGTTGAATAAATTCAATAACCACATGAAAAACCACCTAGATCCTAAAACCACAACACCTACTGTGAGACTGACTTTTAATTTTTAAAGTCCAGATGGGGGTCTATCACTTTTAGTGAACCGTGTGGAGTTGCCTTCTGAAAAAAAAAGGTAAAAAGCAAATCAGTTACTGTATATTGAGTAATCTGACTTGATATAATAATAATAACTTTCCCATCACTGGCACACAATCCACAGACTTACAGTATAACAAAAATTACAAACGCAAGACGAACAGCATTTAAAGGTAATACAAAAAAATATGCAGTTATACTTGAAATTCAGTAAATCTTAAACAAAACATTATACATGTTCTGTTTTGAAAATCATTAGCACAGATGTTGGCTTTAATCATTGTCATTGGTTTGATATGTCTTTGTGGGCTAGATAGAGCATAATATTCATTCTTTGAATACAAGATTTCAGAATACGAAAATACTGATAAAAAGCTGTAAAACAATGTCTAAATTTTAAGTGAAACTATAATTTAAAAGCTTTAATTATTAAATTGACAATTACATTGTTGATTAAAAATTATAATGGTTTCTACATGTTTAGAAAAAAAAGGACTGGAATTATGTAATGTTAAAGATTAAGAGTGGGCTACACTAAAAACTCAGAATCTAAAATGTAACTCTTAAAAAACCACGACATTAAAGCCCTGTCCAGACTATTAAATTCTATGTGACATCCCTAAATATGGTCATGATGACATCACATCATGACCATATATAGGTACAACATGACTATATATGGGTATAATGATGACATGATATCATGACCATATATAAGCACATGCCCAAATTTGTTGATGACATCATATCATGACTATATATAGGCACATCATGCCTAAATATGTTGATGATGACATCATATCATGACCATTATATAGGCACATCATGCCTAAATATGGTCACGATGACATCACATCATGACCATATATAGGCACATCATGACCATATATAGGCACATCATGACTACATATTGAAGAAAATTTGATGGTTTGAACAGAGCTTTAGACTTTGAAATTTACAAAATTGTATTGAAGCTGATTAGAATTTGAGATATAGAATATAATTGGGATAAAATTCAAGATTCAAGTAGAAAAAAAATCCAAGGATTTAAAAGACAGATACCTATAAAAATTTATGGTAGATATGGTTTAGTTAAACTTATATGTTATAAGATGACATGCACAAAGTAAAGACACAGATTGCTTAACATTGCATAACTATTGGGGTAAATAATCCTTACTTCTGTCAGTATTCCAGTCAAAACTAGAGTCATCGTCTGAGGATGCTCTATGCCAGGACCTGCCTCTGGCTGCCACATCACTTTCTCTGTATGCTGCCTGTGTTAAGAAAAAAACAAAAATAAAAACTTTCACCACAGTTGCATGAGGTTATTTAATTGTTCACAAATGTACTGCCTGCCAAAAATCTCGGGAGAACATCACAAATTTAATAAAAACTTTTAATAGCTCACATAAAAGTATCAATTAGTTATTAACTAACAAGAAACAGACCAAAAAATAATAATGGTTTTCAGTGATTTACAGACATTTTACTGTACAAATAATTTTAATTGATTACCAGCCAATTTAGGAGTCTATGCAAAAGAATACAGAAAAGGTATTATTTAACTGTCTGCAAATTGACGGGAATTTTTTTTATTATTAATATCTTTAATTTTAAGTTAATATAGAATTGAATTTTTCAATTTTTCAAACTCATGACAAATAGTACATGTAATACAGCACATAAAACTGTTAATGAAATGAAAAACATTATGAGCAATTTAGGTCTAGGATGACTATGATTATGATTAAACCACATGTAATTAAAATTTGCATAATCAGTTGTAGGTTCTTACTTCAGTTTCAGATCTCTGAGTCATTGATTCCCATCCCAGACTGGTGTGGGGTGTCTCGATTACATCAGATATCGGGCTTTCTCTCCCACTAGTCCTAAAAACACAGCATACATTTAATTTTTAAAACTTTTTTTATTATTGTATAAAATTGCAACAACAATCAGTTCTTTGCCACAACTTATGCAGCAATACCCTTTGTGGGAGAAGTTGGAGCAATGCAGATAAAGTGCCTTGCCAAAGAACAAAACACTGAAATATACTGTATTATGAATTTTAAAATATAAAACACAAGATTCTTCTTTTACTAGCTAGTGTAATACTTTAAACAAATTAAGTAACCTAGAAAATTAAACTACAAAAATATTTAAAAATTGAAGTCTTACTTGTTCTTAGTCTTAGGAGATTTTGAGGATAACCTGACTTCTGCTGGAAAAAAAAACACACAAAACAGCACTCAAAGAAAATTATAAACTTTGGATTTTGGTTTAAAAATTTTTTTAATATAAAATTGAATTATAAATAGTATTAATAAAAATAATAAAATTAATATGTTACAGGGCACTAGAAAATTTAAGACAAAGCACTTAAAATATTGTGTACAAAAACAGGTAGCAATTTCATACTAATTGAAACTAATATCATAACTTACTGAAACTAACATAATAATTAACTGAAACACAAGTTTCATTAGCTGATGATACTTAATTCAATTCAACTTAATTTAATCTTTATTGTCAAACACAGTAGAATATACGGTTTGAAATTCTGGTTGTTTGTTCACAGATTAAAATAAAAAATATTCTTATTGATACAACACATACTGTACATCACATCATGAAATTACTTGCTAATAATAATAATCTAATATTTTTAGTATTAATATCTATTTTATAATGGACTACATATTGCTCCCACTGAACTGAAATGTTCAGTATTGAATATTTCACAAACTGAGTTCACAGCAATCTGCTCATTAATTCCATATTGTGAACAGACACACTAGTAAAGAGATAATAGAAAAAATAAGTTAAGCTAGAGCAAAACGTCATTAGAAAAATGCTTACCATCTGATTCCCAAACAGGATAGCGCTTGAAAAGAAAATTAAATTTACTTATTATTATTTGTATTAATGTATGCTATGGTTTCTTATGTATCATTTTAAGTGAATTAAGATTCACTGATTAATATTTGTATTACTGTAGCCTATAGTTTATGTATTTCATTCAGTTGGAAATATTTAATTACTGTTCATAATAAATTGCATTATTGTGATTGACACAAATTTGCATTTTGACTTGTAGTATAAAAGTGAAAGTAAATTATTTTGCATATTGCAATGAACTGCATCTATGCACTACATATTGTTCCTCCAGACATTTGATCAAACATCTTAAACACAATAAAAAATAATGCCAATAATGACAACAATAATAATAATGAATCAAACATCTCCCAGAGCTTGTATAAATAAATATTGCAAGTATCATAAGATTCCAAATTAAAGAAAACAAAAACACATACCGGTCCTTCAACTTGAGACACACTTTCAAATTCATCATCAGTCATTTGACGTTGGAAACCACCAGATTGACTGTCAACATAATCACTCATGCTTTCCAGACTCTGATAAGGATTTGATCGTCCCCCATACTCACTGCCATTTTCTGCTCCAGCAAGCCTGTTAAGGCAGTAACAATTAGATTTAAGAAATCAAAGGCTTAGCTATCAACATTATCCAACATGTGATGTTTGATATTCATATCTAAAAAAATACTTAATGGCAACTTTTTTTGTAATATTCAACAAATTAAATGTTGATGTGGTAAATCTGATTTGTCTAAGACATAAAAATGTAATTTTTCGAACGGTTAATGAGATACAGATTTCTCAATATTTAAAAATTGGTGGAAAAAGGGGTGTAACCACCCTTATTCCACCTCCTCCTTCCAAAAGTTTTTAAATATTCAAAAAACTTTATCACAGTTTTTCGTCCAACAACTTTTTTGTATCCTTAGAAAAATCATTTCTGAAACATATCAATTTGTTTTCCTCCTGAGTCTGGCTTTATTTAACCAATTATTGGAAATAATCTGTAAGAAAATAAGTAATAGACGGCCTTACCTTGCACACCTGCTACAAATGCTGATCTTGACCTTTGCTTCTGGCTCAGACCGTTGACGCTAAATAAATCATTGATGCAAAGAAATCATTTAATTATATTTTATTCATACATCAACAAAAACAATACCCTCTTCAACTTTAAGGGAGTTAGTCTGAAGATATCCTGTCAATATTGAGTAAAATATTTGTGGATACTCAATAATGATAGAGCAAAGCAAGACAAAACAAATTCCTGATTCAACAATAAAGGATTTTTAATAAGATAATTCTGGCAGGTTTCTATGATTCTCAGTATTTAGAACCAAAACCAACTCAATCCAAACCAAACTGACCCAAAAGAATATTAACCAACTAAACCGACCCTTACAAAGGCCAACTTAATCTAAAAAAAAAGAAAAAAAAAATTGTACCAAAACTTAACCAAAATGTTTAAACAATTATTAATTTTTTTTTTTATTTCAGAGATGGTGCAATGATAATAATTATCTTCTTCTAAGTACTGCTAAAACTTGAAAAAAGGTCCCCTTTATGAAATTAAAATTAGTAATAAAAGTATTGAAACTTTTAATTTTTTTTTAAATTCCCACTTTTTTGTGGCTGCAGGTGCGCTAATTGGCCAAAATAAAATTTTATTTTTATTCGAAATCAACAATATTTGCAGCCGGCGGGTTCACTAAACAAGGTATAAAAAAAGTCTTGCATTAATGACAAACAAATTGTACTTGAAGAATGTAACTAATATGCTTGGAAAGATCATGAATGATGCCGGCCATCCATTCAATAGCATCTATGAGCAGCTTAGCTCAGTCAGATAATCTGGTGGTGGCCACTGTGTGTGTGTGTTGAACCATGGAGACCTCTAGATTCCCATCGCTGCCTCTCTTTGTGTTTCAGTTGGAGGGCTGAAATATAAGTTACAATAGTGCACAGTCTTTCGGATGAGACATTTAGGCTGTTGGTCCCGTGTGCACTTATGGCACATGTGCACGTTAAAGAACACAGTACAATCTTCAGAAAAGAGTATGTGATTGTCTCCCGGTGTACTGCCCATCACCACCAGAAGGACTCCACTGGAAATAAGTCTTCTTCTAGACTTTCATGGGCTATCCTTGGTGTTTGCACCAAATAAATCCAATCCAATGACACAACAAAATCCGAAAGACTAAGGCCACTCTGGTTAAGGCAATCTACTATATTTAGTTGATTTAGTAGAATACAGAATATTGTATATGCCACTATTGTTGTATACATGAGCCTATGCTGTTAAGAATGCAAGGCTTTTATCTACATTTTACCAATGCAGACCATGGCAAAACAATTTTTTGCATGATTTTCACGCCAAATTTACGGACTAAAAATGTGTTGCAGGTCTGTTCTCATCATTTGTATTGCCCTTCATAGTCTTTGTAAAAATCGGACAGCTTTTAGTGTGAAAGTCACGCAAACAATTGCTTTACCACGGCCCTGTCTGTATTGGTAAAATGTAGTTAAATGTCACATATTTCTTCAGGTCTACATTGTGCTGAATTGCAAATCGGTGTTGTCCATGACTACAGTAGCAGCCGTGAAGAGGTGCTTTACAAGTAGTAGCTTTATGTTCACATCATTCCACAATGACAGGGACTGAAAGAAACCATAGCATCAGGGTAACCCCCTACTCTTCGGAAAGATGCATGGGTTGTTTAAAGTGCATATGAGCCAGATGTGTACAACGGACCTCCCATTTTATAGGAAGTCCTCATCTGAGGAGACTGGGTTCTACCAACGAAACCCTGGGCAAGGAGTGGCTCGAAACAGCGTCCCTGCCTTACCACTCAGCCACTTGACTCGCCTACTTCCTACCTTCTATATTTGCCTAGACCTATTTTGGCCTAGCAGTAATCAATAATAATAATAATAATAATGACTTTATTTGAAAACAGAAAACTTGATCACAAATTAAATGTTTTTCACAAGGCCGTTTTAATTAAAGTAATATTAGCAAAATTTAAATTACAAAAATAATAACCAGACAAAAGAAAAGACTTAAAAAAATAAATCAAAAGTAAAACAAAAATTAAGAATTAAAAAGAAACCAAAAATATATATATTATCTTATGCAAGAAACTTTCAATTATTTGTTAATAGTTTTTTTAAAGTATGAACATTTGGGGCCATTCTCATATTGAGGTTTAGGTTATTCCAGACAATGGCTCCCTGATAAGAAAAATTTCTTTTCTTATATTCAGTACTTGCTTTGGGTACCTCAAGTAAATCCTTAGACCTGGTCATGTACAGTACTGTTTTGAATACCTACAACCATCCGCACGCATTTTACTCGTGCGTTCTTGAAATTTGTTAAAATTAAAATAAGTTGGCATTTTAGAATTCATTATTTCAAACATGGTTATAGTTTCATCTTGATACACTTTGGTATTTAGATTTACAATAAAGTTTATCTTAACTTATCTTATTTTTATTCTACTGTATATGGTGCGGAGCAGTACATACAGTCAGCGGAGACCATATAATATTAATAATAATGATATGCAAATGATTTGCTGATATCAGCTCAGCTTATTCCCAATTTTAACACCAGGCTCAGCAATACCCAATTGACTTAGCATTGACAACCCAAGTACCTACCCTGCTCAGCTTATGCCCAACTGACTTTGCATTGGCAACACCTTCACTTCTTAAAGCAGCTACATCTTCTGTAGGGATAATCATGTATAATTATAAGCTATCTGCTCAGAGGTGGTGCCAGCAGGGGTCAGGGGTTCTGACAAGGAGATCTGCATATTTTTGAGGCTTTCAAATTCAATAATGAAAAATAATTAAAAACATTACCTAGCATGTCGGCAGCTTCATCAAAGTCACCATCATCAGCATTCATTGAATCTTCACCTGCATCAATGTACCCATTTCTTGAAACTTGTTGCCTCGCTAATTGAGCTATCTCTTCTTTATGAGCAAAACTTCTTTTAGTTGATGAGATCATCCTTCCTTTGATTGGCCTTTATTAATATAAGAAGAATATATAATAGCATTTCACAAATCCAGTTTATCAATTATTTCAATCTATCTCATTTTTTCCAACATGGATAAATCTTTAAAAAAAATAATGAAACTGGCAAAAGACAATGATTACTTTAGACAACATAATACTTCTTGTACATCTGAATTACTGTGTTGTAATTTATAAGCTGTACTCTCTGCCAAAAAAATGTTAAACACAGGAAAAGCATTATTTAACAATCAGTTAATGAATGAGAAACATTTCATCTTTTGAAATTTGTAATTGCAACTTACTTCTTCAAATTTAAATTTCAAATATTTATTTTAAGGTTATTCTTCAATAAAAATTATAATTTTATATTATTGTAAACTTTTCATGGTTTTCGTTCATATAATTTGATGCAAAGCGAATAGAGGCACTGCGCAATATGTGCTATATATGAGTAAATTATTATCATTTATTATTTTATATAGAGTTGTTTGGGAAAAATGTCTTACAAACTCTCATCTTGTGATGATAAATGTCCATATTTCTTTTCAAGTTTGTCTGTTGTTAATTCTCCACTCAGAGGGTCATCATCAGAGGTGACCTTTCTACGGGTATATTCAGAGCTAGTGTACTTCAGGTCATCAGAATCATCAGTTACCCATTGAGCAGGACCAGAAACTCCTACAATATTAAAATATAAGAAATAGAGCACACTCCGCCCACACCATAAATCTCCCCTGTATAAATTTCCCAAGCATATTTTCGACCTTGGAAAAAAAAATTTTAAGATATTTAGCGCTTGGACGTTCCATTATAAGTGTCCCCACATCCACGCCCTACTCAAGAAATTCACCAAAATTGAATAAATTTTTTCCTTGGCCATGACAAACCTTTCCAGAAAGGTTAATTCATTTCAGTCCTTTAATTCATTTTAGATATCTCGGTGTGGACATAAATGGTCCTCATATCCACACCCTACTCCGAATCGTCACCAAAATATAATCATTTCTTCATTGGACCATGACAAACCATTCTAGAAAGTTTTACCCGAATCTGGATCATCACCAAAATTTAATTCACACACACAAACACAAACAAATGCCAATAAAATCATAACCTCCTTGACAGAGATAATAAATGTGCCAATGAATAACATGGTCAAAAGGTCATTGTTTTGAATCTTTAAGCTGTCTACGTATGTGGTGGGCATTCAGACTGAGCCCTAAGCTCCTGTTTCAAGGTGCTTAGTAGCAAAGTTGTAAATTATTACATATGTGACAATAATGAAATTAAATTGAATCCAGAATCCAAAGTTACCAGCTTGAGATTCAAACAAAGACCTCAGTGGTTTAGTCTTGACCTCAATATTGTGTTGTGAAAACAGCTGGCTACCTTTTGAGAAGGCAACAGATTTGCTTTTAGTCTTTTGAGATTCCTGGAAAAGTTCATCAAAATCTCCTGTACTCTTCCGCACTTTGCTATCCCATTCTGGCTTCTGAGTTTTCTTACCTTTAAGAAACATTGAAAAAGATAGGCTATGTGTTATTTTGACTCGGATGCTCTCTCAACCTAGCCTAGGCATAGGAATTGATCTGTAAACTAAATTATAAAAACCTTGAATATCTTTATAGATGTGCACTGTTGCAGCCCTCAAAATTAACGTCGGCATTCGGCAGTGCCGGCGTAAATGCCGGTGTCTAGGCACCCGTCGCCGGCGAGAAAATTGCCAACGTGCAGAAACGTACTGCTACTTTTCACGAATAAATTACACTAATTAAAAAAAACGGAACTTCTAAGTTAATCCCTTAGACACATATAGTTGTAATTCTGTTTGTATTCTCTGTTGATTTTAGTGAAAGTGAAAGACGATCCCCAACTCGCACGTTCTGCAGTGCGTCGCCAACATCTCCTGGAAAGAACAGCAAGTCGAGCGTGTTCGACGTCACCAAACTTTGCTATACTTTTGACTGTGGTGGCTTTTATTTTAAATATGCCCAGAGTATTTTAGTTTTAATTCGTTTTCACAAAAGTAACATGTAAACATATTTCAACATCCATGGTTAGTGCTTATTTTTTATCACTGCGGCTAGCCTAGGTCTACCTAGAACTTCACAGCACTCTGGGGATACGATGGTCCACGTAGGCCTAGGCGCGCGTAGGCTAATACTTAGTACTAGCCTAGGTTTAGGCCCAGTACTTGACAACTTTTTGAAAATGCCGGCGTAGGACCGGCGTCATATTTTTAACATCGGCGATTTTTTGCCGGTGTGCTTTATCCCTAATTTTGAGAGCTGCTGTTGTAGCATGACGTGGATGAGATTTGCACAGAACAAAAGTGGATGGTTGTCTACTTTGGCCCGGGGAAGCCTTTGCCCTGCAGTGGGCTGCCAATCTCTGAAATGATGACATTACGCGCTCTTCAAGGAGTGAACTCATTGAGGCCTATATTTAGGTGGGTACAGTGATCTACCAGATCTGCTTACAGTGTAATTATAAATTCTCATTTGTGAAGGCATAATTCAAAATCCATGAGCAAAAAAAAAATCAGTTTAACAATTGTAATAATTAATAACAAACTGAATGTAATATAATTTGAAATTGATATAGAGCAAATACAAAGTCTTCAAGCACTTAACTGAGAACAATTAATAACTTAATATAATCAGAATACAATAAATCGAATCAGCATTAAGGTGGTGTGCCTTTCATCAGACTTTTGATGGCCGGCAAATACATAATTCACATGAACACCATGCTGACGGCGGCGGTATGTGGTAGGAACCGAAAAGAGAAGGCGAGATTAAATTGTCCAAAAAAGATGTGTCTTCAGATGAATTTAAAACTGTTTAGTGATGATGGATTCAAGCATAAATGGGATAGGAATTCCATAGTATAGGTGTAGCAACAGAACAAGCTCTGCCAACGTATAAACACAATAACTGCAACAATACTTTAAAATATACAGTAGGCTCCCAGCGGAATCGTCTGTCTATGCCCTATACTGCCTTCCTGTATTATGTTTACTAATAAAGTATCCACATGGGATTTGGTTATCAGAAAATGTGTGGTGCTGTATTTTTTTTATGACTTTTGTACAGTAATAAGGTACTTAAGATGACACATGACCCATCATGCACCTCCACCGGATTTATCCTTTCAGCCATCTTTAACAGCCAGACGAAAACATAGCATCTTTGCCCATGAGGGGGCACAGAAAAAAAACTAAACCTAACCTAAATACTGGATTTAGTCGTGAATGATATCTCAGAGTGCTTTTGGTAAACTTCAAATGACACAAGTTGTATTCTGGCAAAAATACTTCATTCTATAGAGTAGGACATTAATAATAATTTTATGCAGGTTTTTTTTTTTTGTATTATGTAATTATGAAGTAATAAAGACAACAGAAGATGAAGCTGCTATTATAAGTATCCTTCTATGGAAAAGTTTTGAAAGTGTTGATGATGATGTAAACTCTAAATATACCCTTTATAATTTAGATAATTACGTATAAAAACAGAGCTTGAGAATGATGTCCTATGTTTAACCAACTGACCCCTCAACCAGCAGTGGCTTAAAAAATTTGCTGACAAGGAGTCCGACAAGTCCAACTGGGAAAATTACAAGGCCTTTCAACAACCACACCTCCAACACATGCTCACTTTTTTATACACCTAGCAATGTGGTTTTTGGTACAGGTTATTACTATTAAAGCCTTAAGACCCATCAACAAATTTAAGGAGAACCAATAAGGGACAGATAAACCAAGATAGTATTGAAGATCTGCTGTCCCTGGCATGTAATCGATCTACTTGGAATACTTTTTACAGAAAGGCTATGCTGTAAGGCAAAAGGGGTTTGATGAATAGGGGCCAACCGGTCATGGATATCAATTCAGAACATAAAGAGTAACTTATTACCTTCAATGGCATCTTCTTTAACTGACTTTTGTTTGGGTTTTTTCATGTTACTGGACCATGGCTTGTCATATCCTCTATCAGATTTCTTCAATGCAGAGTCTAAAATAATAATATTTATATTGCAAATTTTCAGATTGACATGTGTTCAATGAATTTTATATAGAATGATGAAATAAATAACATATTAAACACATTATTATTTTATAATTATGAAACAGCAGAAGCAACTAAGGCAACAATAACATTATTAAAGTTCGTATTAAAGTCATGTAAATAAAAATGGTTATAATTAGGCCAAAAAAAAAAATGTTTGTTTGCCCTCCTCCACCCACCCCTAACTCAATTTTTTTTTAATAGGGGCGGAAAAACAAAAGAGCTTAAAAAAAGTTTTCTTTTTAGCTTTTTTCTTTACAAATTTTAAAAAATGTGAATGAATTTATCTTTATTTTTTGCCAGATTCTATTCTATTCATATTTATTTATATAGCGCCTTTCTTTGCAGATACGAAGCGCTTCTGTCCCTGGTCATTGGATCCACATGCATAAGTTGCTGCTGTATTCAGCTGTATACAACTCAAGGTTTAACTAGTGACTTCACATACCAGTCGATGCCCACAATGTTTTTGCATCAGCACTATGACTCAATTGATCAACATTTCCTCCAACCGAACGTCTTCCAGCCGGTAGCGATGTCATTGGACGCATTCTAGTTGAGCTTGATGTTAAAGGATTTTCCTGACAAATAAAGTGTACAATTAATTATCAACATTTATAGTCAGAATCAAAAGTTCACCTAAATTAAAATCACATTTATTTTATCTACAGTACTTTGATGGAACAAATATTAAATCTCTTCTACTAATTATATTGTTTTACTGATTATTGTTTATTTAAAACCATTCACAATGAATTCTGTTTTGATATTTGAATTCTGTCTTTTGATAAATACATTCTAAGAACCATCTTTAAGTAATACCTGTATTATATAATAACAAAGACTTGTATCAGGATTTAAAGAAGTACTGTATCTGGTTATCAGCCTTTTAACAGATCTAATTATGTACATGGTGATACACATCGGCGCTAACTGGTGGCGGATACAGGAATTCAAAGTAGAGGTAGCCCAGGGAGGGACTTTAACAGATGGAGAGTCAAGACCACTTCAGCCCCACAATGGTTGATGCTGAGATAAGAAAAGGTATAACAATGGCACTCTAGATGTTTGGAAACAGTACTCTCAGACTAATAATTCCGTTTTTCTCCATCTTTTAAATAATTTTGACAAATTTAGGGCAGGCCGGGACCAACTAGGAACCACATTTAATCCACCACTACTGACTTCCATGGGACAGTTGATATTATATATATAAATCACCATCATCATACACAGCATAATAGATTCAAATGCACTGTTACGAGAGGTCCAATATATGCAAATGTTTGGTATTAAATTAGTAACTGTACACTCCAGTGATATTGTAGTAGACGAATTAGAGTATTGAGCACTGAGAGCTCCATTTGGAAGGTCAACATTAACATTAGGTGCATTTTGCATATTATAGAAACCTTGATTAATGATTTTTTTTAAATGTAGTTAAGTAAGTTAACTTGTCTCCATAAAATAATATATAAACGATACATCACATAAAGCATTAGAACAGCACTATCTAATGTCAATGAGCAGAAATTGATACCTGTTTTTGCTGTCTTTGTTGATCCATTCTGTTCAGGACTTTGATAAGATAAGGAATTGGCTCAGATGGAAGTTCTTTTATCAATCTTGACATCAAGTCCTGGTTGTAATGTAAACAAAAACAAGAAACATAATTTAATATTGTATTGTCCACAAGTAACTGTTAGTAAGTGGCCTGCATTCACATACGTGGCATAAGTCTTGCATAGCTTACACTAAATCTAATCCACTGTTTAACAAATGTGTTCATACATGTCAGAAAGTAACACTCTAGCATAATAAGCAGAAAATGCATCTGCATTACCTTCTGCAATGCTGATAATGAGAACAAGTATTCTGGGAAATATCACCAGTGCATACTGTAGTCATAGGCATAGCAGGTGGGACCATAGCAGGTGGGACAAATGTTTTTGGTTTGGACATGGAGTGCCTAAAAATAAAGAGGCCATGAGGAAATTTTAAAGGAATTCACACATATTTATGAGAATGATTTGCTAGTAGTAGAGCACATTCCATACCGACACTCTTTGCAGAATTCTTCGCGATATATTGAAGATGAATAAATTGATTTTTGTTGATGAAGTTTAGGTAGGTAGACATTAATTAATAGATTAAAATGTATTTTTAAACATTATTAATTATTTCAGCATTGCCATCTATTTGCAGTTCATGTATAAGTCAATTGACTTGAATCTCACAAGCATATGCCTTTGTAGTCCTTGCTTAAGTAGGAGATTTGTTAAGACCGCTTGGCTAGCAACAACATATTCATCTCAATGTAAAACCCCAGCTCTCATTGACCTATTTACACACGAGACATAAAAAATCAGAGGCAATATATTAAATTAGTGATTGATCGGGGATAGGAAAATTTACTTGTAAATGAAAGTGAAAGACGGGGGGCATCAGATTGAAAGTACTTAAAAATCTCTTTTGTAGGCATCATTTGTTAAAGCTGGCAACAAGGTGAATCCTGATTACCAGCTCTTGGCTGGCATTTTCAGCTTAAATACTGTCACCAAGTCATTTTGTTGCAATTTATTTATGAAATATTTAAACTATTGGACAAACTTAAATTGCTGAATTGTAGAATATGATGTTTCTTTTGACTACTATCACCAATGCGTCAGAAGTCAGTTTGTATGACCTCTAATAATAATAATAATAATAATAATAATAATAATAATAATAATATACTTTATTTTTACAGGGATACACTTGATTCACCCAAGGGTGTTTTTCATCGAGGCTGTGCAAGGCCAGCAATGTAACAAGATATAAGGAAAACTAGATTTGAACTCGTCACTGAGGACGAGTTAGGTGATCCGCCGCACTTTGACCCTCATTAAGATCATGCGGTGCTGATTGAAAAGTGTCATAATAATTATGCTAAAATATGCTGTAATTATTTTTTTTTAAAAAGAATAATTTTGAGCATTTTAAAAGATTTCCGCATGTGTACACGTACGTCTTGACGCCCGTGAGTACGGTAATAGCACAAAGAGTGACTCCTGATATGAATAATGTGTCAGGAACACAAAGTATGTAACAAAACGTGATTTCTAGCTTTAATATGTGCTGTTTGCGTGGAAATGAACGTACGGCGGGTAAATTATGGAAAGTTTTGAAATACTGAAAATGACCCGAAACATTCTTTTAACTATCTGAATAGTAATATGAAGAATTTTCAAATTTTAACAGACACGCACGTCACGATGTGTGCGTGTACAGTAATAGCACACGAAATTAAGCATTCTCAAGTGTATTTAGAACCGCCTGTTAGTTGGTAATGCCACACGAACTTTCCCTTCACATAACCTATATATATTAGTCTGATAGCGTCAAAATACAGTCTGCCGCCCTCCCTCTGTTCTATTGTTTTACATCTTTTAAGTATGAGAGATAAAAGGGTTCTAAAAATACATTCTTTTTGACCATGTTGACGTGATCAAAATGAAAAATAAAGGGACACGTCTTCAAGAGAATTGATTTAGCTATAACATACTCACAGGTAGGAGACAATCAATCAAGAATAAGCGAGATACGTTCAAACGAGTATAAACATAATGGCATCATAAATAAAAATTCAGTTTTTTAATTCAAATGGCAATATGATGACGTCACAATGTCCGATCAGCCATTATGAAGTAAAAAATCATATCTACAACTCATGTGCTTTCAGGTTATGTAATAAAAATTGGGGGTCACCTTTCATCCTAAGGAGCTATAACTGATTAAAAATATTCATGGTTTTATGCATATATAGATTTTGACGCACGCGTACGTGCACGCTAAAAAGCGCGAATGGAAAATTAAGGTACATAACATTCAACCTTGACCTGAAGCTTATTCTCACCTAATATGATTTAGAAATGACGAATGGTTAAGATTATATGGGGTCATCAACGTTTTGAACAAAGAGAAATGAGGGGGTCAGAAAAAAACAATTTTTTGGACCATGATGACGTCATCAAAATGTAAAAAGAAATCAAATATGTGAAAGAGAACTGTCTCAGCTATAACATACTGAAAATTGGAAGACGATCGACCAAGGATAAGCGAGATACGCTCAAATGCGTCACAATGTCCGATCAGCCATTATGATCTATAAAATCATATTTACAACTTATGTGCTTTCAGAATATGCAATAAAAATTGGGGGTCACCTTTCAACCTAAGGAGCTATAACTGATTAAATATAGGTCTGATTTTAGCATAATTTCACTGTATAGAGCACAAATACGCGCAAAGATACCTATGTTGGATGCGCACGTACGGTATTGCTATTGGCCAAAAGATGCCTGAAAAGCATGGAAGTTTGTGAAAACAATGTCAGGAACCCAAACTATGTGAAAAAACATAGTGTCTAGCTTCTGTACGAGCTGTGCGCGTAAAAATGCGACGATTTTTCGATACTCGTGGCATTTTTTGAGATATCGTGCGAACAAAAAAGGGGAGAAAGAAAGAAGAATAAGAAAAAAAAGATCCTGACAATAACAAGAGGTGATCCGCTAGTGTAGCGGATCACCAATAAAAATGTAAAAGCTAAAAATGATAACCACATTTAAACAAAGTGAATTTCTGATTTAACACCGAGAGCCGCACCCAAACTTTGTTCTTTACAGTGCGCTTCCAAAAAACTCTAAGCACTGCTTTTACACCACTTTATTCCCAGTTTTAATATTACTTTTTCCATATGATCGGTTTCGGGCCGTAAAAAGCAAGGTGTTTTCTAGCCAATGTTGTTTGGCGGGCCGCACACATAGGGTTTTAAATTCACATTCGCGGGCCACAAAAAAGTCGCTGTCGGGCCGCACTTTGCCCACCTGTGTTGTAACTGGACCATTTTGAAAAGCACATTAGGCCGACCAGCCCTCCTTAAACTAACGTTAGAATACCGCACTTTCGGCAGTAAAGAACAATTAAAACCTCATAAAAAAGGCAACTAATCCATTTACCCATAAGGACACCAGTGTTAAACACTCACTACTTATCCTTGATAATGTGTTAATCCAATTAATATAATGAGATAACGTAACGTTAGTTTATCGAGGGCGGGTTGAGCTAATGAGTACTACTGTACGTTACAGAAAATGCAATCCAGTAAAAAGAAAGAAAGAATAAACCAAGAGCTTTCTGTAAATATACTGTACAACATGTCATACTTCATAAGATATTAACCATACTCATTCAGTCTATGTACAGTATATAGCATAAATGGAGGTTGTGAGGTGGGGAGGGAAAGGATATTTGGCTGGGGGAAGGGGTTCACATTCAAATAAAATGTTAAAAGTTTACGGGACATCGTCATGCCAAAGAGAACATTCTTTGAAAATTCATTTTGAAAATTCATTTAAATCTGTAAAGGAAAATAGAAGTTTATACGATCATTTTAATATTCAAGACAAATTGTGATAATCTATGTACAAATGGTCACAAGTTTGTGATAGCTGAACAAATTCTTATTCCAAAATTAAGAACTAAAAAAATTCATAGAAAATCAAGTTATTGTTGGAAATCATTATATTAATTAAACAAGCATTTTTGTAAATCAGACTTTTTTCTTGATTTTTTAGTAAGATACCTGTATCTTCATTTTGTCATGGAGAGTTTGATTTTTTTTTTTTTTTCACTCATGCTGAGGTTAGCATGGTTGTGCACGGATTAGCCAAAGATGGATGGATACGAGGGTGACGAGTACGCCAAAATTCTCAGTACGGGTCCGCCAAAATTTTGTTTGGTACGGGTTGGCATGAGATGAGTACAGACAGGTTGACTTGTTTGTATTCCTAAATACTGGAGTAGTAGTAGCAGGGAGTTGTTATTAGATAACAACTCCCTGGTAGTAGTACTACTAGGCCTAGGCCTAGTAGGCTTTAAGGGCTTTCTTAGGCTGGTCTACACATTATACTTTACCTCAAACAATCCACCAATCCTATGTTTTTCTAAAAATGCTTGTACTTTATATTGGGATGCCGCCATTCTGCTGTTGGTTCTACCCTTGTGTATGCTTTTCTAGTTTTGTTTTTACTCCCGTATACCCAGCCAGAGGATCGGAGTCTTCCCCTGAGAACCGCGTCCGCCACTAGGCGACGTGATAGACTTCAAATCCATACGTACCACCTTTGGCCTCTCAAAATGTCGGATGAGCAGTGCGAAAAAAAGCTGCTGTTTTCTATCGGCACTGCCGCAGTGCCAAAAAGCTGCTTTAAGATAATATTCGTAAGTTCGTGTGAAAAGTATTTAAATAATTGCAGTTTATTTATACGGCATTTGACGGATATTTGTCACCTCGTATGAACCATCCTGAGCTATGCTTACAAAAATACGCATTAATCTCGCGATAGTATTAGCATTTGCTTTTGTTTTCATTTCATTTATTTATTCGACCAATACACATTTACAAAAGGTACAGTACAACAAAAATTATGGTCACAAAATAAAAATTTTAAAAAAATAACAAAATAAAAAATTAAAATTAAAATTAAATTATTACATCCAGCGTTAGTTAGGCTTGTTTAATGCTTAAATAATTGAAAACATAAATTATTTGGTTTAAATTATCATAGAATTTACAATGAAACTTATATTTTATAAGAAGATTTTACATTGACGACGTAAGTTGATTTAATATGCTGAATCATTATTAATGGTATATACCTATAATATATTTCTATAAATTAATCAAAATGTCTGATTAATCACACTATCGTAAATGAAGTATGAAGTATTATTAATTCTTTATTAAAGCATTATTCAGCCGCCTTCATTATTATTATTAATATTATTATTATTATTATTATTATTATTATTATTATTTTTATTAATATTATTATTATCATTATTATTATTATTATTATT